TATTTACCACGTAACCGTGAAAAAGGTCCAAACGACATATGTACTCTTCTCCAATTTAAACTTTTCCTGAAAACCTCAAAATTTAAAAAATCTTAAACGTTTTTTATTAACATAAATAAATATAAAATACATAATGGGATTATATCGTGTGTACCCTTCATCATATCGGCACTCGTTATCTCTGTCGATGATTTATTTTAAAGTTGCCTTTACCTATACATATACAACACATAATGTGCCCGAACAGAAACATCTGCGTGATTCTTAAACACCTTAAATACACCCGCTTACATTATACTTGTACCGTGTCTATATATATATATATATATATATATATATTTATTTATGTATTTAGCTGCAGCACGTGGCCGGAGGCCAACAAAACTACTGACAAGATTGTGTTTTAGTTCTATAACTTATAACTGTACTCTCCTAGAGACCATACTAGACACAAATTTTATGTTTACCATAGTTAAACCACACGGTGGCTGTATACATTCATTATTATACATCCATACTACTCTATAAGAGTATATAACAGTATCACCCCAACGGAGAATCAAGAATTGAGACCCAGGTCTAACTGTTCTCCAAGTGAAGGCCAAAGTGCATCTGCCTTGATATTAATTCACTTTCTCTTTCTCCATCATTGACTATCTTTCGATATCTTTTCAATATCACCATAATATTAAATTATCTACTATACTGTTTTTGCTTCCAATAACAGAACCATGTGTCTTGATTCGTGCGCTGTCGACATTACCCACCAAAAAGCTCCATAAATTTGTCCTTATTTATTTATTTATTTTGGTCATACGAGTATGATAGGGCCCTTGTTCTAATGATAAAGATATTAAGTAGCCATAGCCGGTGGTATATAAATTAAAAAGGATGTACATCAAGGATCGAGAGGTGTGTGCGTGTGTTGCAAGAAAGAGTATGAGGATGAAAAAAATAAAGATCGAAAGAGTAGCCACGTGCCTTGAGCAGCCAGCACGCGACTAACCTAACGGTTTTAAGCACTCACCCCACGAGCCAACTAAACCAGTCCTCACTCTCCACCCCTTCTCACCCTTTACCAGCTCCAGACTGAAAACATACGAGAACACACGTTCGCTATACAAATACTATTGGCTCGTATTCCCCTGTATCTATATACTCTCTTTTTCTCTCCTTCTTTTCTCATCTTCAGTCTTCACCTTCCTTATACACTCCAGAACCTCAGTCCTCTGTTTCTTCAGCTTTCGGTCGCTGCTTCCATATCTGGCCCGAAAAGTTTAATTAGAAAAATAGTTTAGGCCCTGTTGAATTTTTTTAATGAATAATTGCAATTTTTGAAGAATATTATCATTATATTATATTAAAGGTACACGCATGGATCTGTTGATATTTTGAAAGGAAGAAGTTTATAATAATGTAAGAGTGTAAGAAGAGAAATATATAATATAATCGAATGATGTAAGGCCCTAATAAAATCGTAAGTCGGTTGACAGGCGACGAATAAAACGCGGAAGATCCCCGCCATTTGTTGTTATGCTGTACCTCCCCCGTATATAACGTCTGGTGGGCCCAACGTCTTCTTTGTTCGTCCATTGCGTAATATGTATGTATTTATAAGAGAGCCAGAGAATGACGACAACGCGGGAAAGAAGCAGATGCTGTTTAGGCATTCGACCAAGTTGATACATGTGAAGAAGAAAAAAACCCTCCACGGTCTAATGCGATCGTGCATCATTCTATTGGGATATATATATATATGTGTTTCTTATTGCGAGATCACGTGTAGTATGTCTTAAGAAATATCATTTTTTTTATTTTTATTTACCTTCAAATAGTTTATTTTATTTAATTTATACATCTATACGTTTATGCGGGATAATGCTCTGTATTCAAAAATCATTTAGGAATGTTCTTTCTGATGAATGACGTCGGCGAGCGTTTCTAAATCAATAATAAATCGATTTCTAGTTAGACTCAAACTTTTGGGAAGAAAAATGCTGATGGAGATCCAGTAGGCGGGAGTTATTCACCGAGAATAGGAAGGATGTTACCGCAAAATCAGGCTCCACCGTGAAAATAACGATGCTTTTTTTTGTAGTTTAATCGATTGATGATGATCTAACACTGTCAGCAATGCACGTGGCTTTTCTTTTTTATTAAATGTGATGATTTTTTTTAAACGGATTTTCCAAGAATTGTTTTTTCAATTAAAGTGCAGGTACTTAACGCGCGTGGAAGAATTCGAAGGCAAATTTCAGGTGGTTTTTATCACCTGACAAAAAATGCACACGCGTGACTGGACGATGCCCCTAAATTGTATTGCAGAAGGTCAGGTCCGACTAAAAATTCTGTTCTTCGTGATCTATACCAAATGTACTAGTCACAACGTAGCATTTAGTGCGAGAGAGATGAAAGGAATAGCCTGGCAGCTGCCTGTTGTATGACCTACGGCCCTATTCCTAAATCCAGACGAAATTCGAAAGAACCAATAATAGAACACGGTTTTTGGGAATAATAGGTAAACGCGGGGGTGATGGATTGTCAGGTCAATATTCTGGTTACCGTGTCACTGGCACAGATCGTCTAATAAGCTTCCAATTCACATTGCGTAATATTTTATAATGTAAAATGTAAATCCTGAAAATTATTTATTCAGTCATCTAATTTTTTTGTGAATAATATTTAAATCCAGGTAAAAAAAAAAATTTTTTTTGGAACTGAACGCGTAATCCCGGGTTTCTTTGTGCGTTTTTTACAAAAGTTTAGTTTGCTTGGATAGCGGAAAAAAAATAATAAATGGCGTATCACGTGGTTGTAAAAGAGAGTTAGAAAGCACAGCACCTATGGCAGTTAATGGGTACGCCGTTCTCGGTCTTGAAGGATTCGATAATGGTGTTGAGATACTGCCGTGAAAAAGCCGTTGCAGTCCCAGACTCTTAGTTAACGTTCATTTTTTTTTTTTTTTTTTAGGCAGGTAAAATCGCAAATTAAGTCTTTTGGGTCGAAAAGGAGTGAAATGAAAGGTATAGAAGGCATGGATTTTACAAAAAAGTGACGGTTACACTTTAACCTTGCGTTATCGGTGATAGGTTCTGGAAAGGTGTGTTATTATTACACCTGGGACGTCAAAGAGTCGCAGTTACACTCATACACATTAAAAATGCTCACACACTGATTTTTACTTAAAAAATTGGTGGTTTTTTTCCCGAAAAGGGTACGGAAAAAACGTTGCGATGGTAAAACCCGACGAATTCACCCCAAAATCGTTCCCCTTTTAGTCCCACGGAATCTTCTCACGATGAGATGTAATTTTGATGTAAAAAGAGGAAAAATAATAAAAAATGACGACGTACCCTAGCTTACTTTTAACGATGCAAATTTGCTGTAAAAAAGGAAAATAATGTGTACCTGCCCGTTTAATATTAAAAGCGAAATTGTTCGAGGGGCCCAAAAGAATAAAAAAGTAAAAAAATACTCATACTTATAGTTATTGAATAGATATTGTGCTCGCATCTCCGATCGCAGTTGATCAACTTAAAAAAATTTTATAGCGATTCCACCAATCTAGATTCTCTATTGCGTTTTCCTTTCTTCTAGTGGCTACCTGCTTGTCTTGGGCTTTTTACGTTTTTCAAGAGAATCCGCGTCATAGTCAGTCAGGTATTGAAGGAAATAAATATATATGAAGAATAAAAAAAAAAAAAAAAAAACTATAAGTCCCCATGAAGAACAGAGAAAAATGATGAAGAATGAAAACGCACGTTGCTTGAAAAAATAGCGTCTTCGGGGGTTTTTTCTTCTATTATGATTATTATTATTATCCTCGGTCTTTCTCTATCCGACTCACGGCTTACCTGTGCCTCACTTTTATGCTTCCCGTATGTTTTTTCACAGGATTTCGTTGGATGGGAAGCTACAAGCATTATCGTAGTGTACTGAATAAGCATTTTTTTGTACGTTTTTTTTTCTTACAAACATTAAATTTAGTATTTAAATTTTTTCACGTCGAGGGGATATAAGTGATCTCTTCGTTGGGGTCTCGTAATTGTATGCAATATTGATTTTCTCACATCGACCTTTATGAATACAATAAAATATTCAGATTTTGGTGTGAATATTTTTTGTTCCTAACGGATATTTATAAAACTAAAATTATAAGATCGATTTGTTTGGTAGCGAATTAAAAAAAAAAAAAAAAAAAAATAACCGTTGGTAGTAAATTTTTGACGCCATCGGTCGTTCAATCGGCTCCAACCGATTATACGAGGATCATATTACAATTTGAAATAAAAAATATCATAGTAGTGGTATGTAGTTATATAATAATGTATAATGTATAATATATAATATATAACACGGAAGAAAGCAGAAGAATGAAAAAGTGCAACGAAAGTTGAGAATAAAGCACCGAGAGAGACGCCGTCAACAAAATATCGAAAGAGGTGGCGAGGGAGGTCGTCACTAGACACGATGATTGATGTAACGAAGGGTTGTTTTTTAGTAGAGGGGGATAATTCGTCCTCCAAAGGGTTCTACCGGGAGCCAATCGGGTGCGAGCTCGTTCAAACATTCTCCAATAGAGGACTTATGCTCCCTAAGTGGGGATTGTTTGCCCTAAGGGCCCGATTCTCCAGTTTAGAATATACATTGCGTCACTTTGATATTCACTCACCGTCGATCCCTCGACGTGGATCGAGACCGCAAGTGGTACCATTTAGTTTTTTATTTTTTCAATGCGCGTACGTAGTAACCCTTGCGGTGAATAATTAAAATTCAAATTTATTCACTTTGAATAATTAATAAATTAACTTGTGAATATTTAACTACCATGAATATTTATTAAAATGGTGTGATTTAGTTTTTAATTTATCTGACAAGAGACTTTTGTTTTTGTTTTAATTCTTTTTAAATGATAACTTCAAATCGTCGTGCTGGATCTCGAAAAAAGTATCCATGTGACGAAGGTGAACAGTGACGGGTCGAAGTGCAGTGATTTAAAGATGGTATTTATCGAAGACCCGAGGATGATTTTTGCGGATATGCGGCTACATGCCACCAGCACCCCTACAACCACCCCCATTCGTTATCACCGCCATAAATATCGTTCCCAGAATAATAATAATTGTACGAAATAATTTGTTAAAAATTTAAATTTGAAATATCTTATTTTTGTAAATAAAATAACGAAATGTTTGTTTTTTAATTCCAGACGCCGACTTACACGGTGATGTCGATGCCCCAGATCTCAGTGGTGATGACAGGAGTATCGCAAGTGACGTCCACGATGCTCACGAGGCTATCTTGGACCACGATTCCATGGACTCTGACCGCGGGGCTCTCAATCTGGTGGGTTTTATTTATTTATAAAGCATATCCGTTGAATTATTCGCTAAAGTGCGTGGACAACTCGACATATTGCAATGAAATGTAGATAGCAATTTACTTAAAAAAAAAAAAAAAAAAAAAAAAAACAATTTTCTCGCCACCTTGCTAATACTACAGGTGCGATCGTGAACCTCAACCAGTTAATTATCATTGGTGAACAGATGGGGACAGAGTTCTCTGTTCTTTTGAGTAAATTCTCACCACAAATATTATAAATTAAAAAATAAAAACATCGTACAAGTTTATAGTGAAAATGTGTATACTTACATACGCAATCTTTTATTTTAATCTTCTTGCTTGAGGTAGACGTATAATTGATATGACGTGTGCATACAATTATACTTATTTAATTGCTGGTTACCCCAACAAGCTTTATTCTTTTTCTTGTTCTCGATAAAATCGTATAAGAAAAATACCGTCCAAGTTGTAGTTATAGGGTAAATAGATACCAGAATTCGTTGGGTTTTTATTTTACTTTATAAAAACATCTGGCGTTTAAAAAATTGGTACACCCTCTCTCGAAAATCGAGTGTTTTTTATGTTCAATAATTTTCGTACGAAACTAACGGGACTAATAAAATATCAAATATTTGATCAACAAATTCATAAGTCAACACAAAGTAAACGAAACAGAGATTTTTATCTCTCGGGAGGGTTGAATTTTCTCACAACAAGTTAAGTGTATTAACGGGATTTGAATTTATCAGGTTACAGATGTGTCACAGCGGAATAGCAGCGGTGGTACCAGTGGGAGTGCATCATCCCCGAGTTCCGGGGTGAGCAGTCAGCTAACCGGAAGCCACGCTGGTACTGGAAATTCCCCGGCAACGTTGGCGGCCCAATTGGTCAGCCAGCAGTTGCTGATGCACGGATCTCTTGGCGCTTTGAGCTCCCAAGAAATTCAGGCACTGGCATCGACTCTCCAGCAGCAACAATCGCTCCAGCAATCGCTGCAGCAGCATCTCCAGCAGATCGCAATGTTCCAGCAAGCTAATCCGGCGACGGGTCAACTTCCTGCACAAGCGCAGTTTTTCTTACAAAATCAGGTTTGTCCGATCTTTAAGTTTATTCCCATTCGCACAACAAACTCCTCATTTTGTCATTTTTTTCTCATTCTGGAGTGCACTTTACAAGATTACTACTGATTAAGATATCCTACTGGATGGATGTGTATATTTTTCCTCCATCAAGGACGCACCTATCTGATCCAGACTTTTAAAGATTCAAGATTAAGTTAAAAAGATCCCTCTAACTGGGATTCACTGACGACTCACTTTGATTACCATTGAGATATTTCCGTGGTATTGTACGTCACGGTTTGTCACGATGTTTAGATTCAACAAGAATTTTTTATCCCTTTTTCGTTTTAAATCTTCACAAGTGATAGGGTTCACTTCACTCACTGGAAACCCAAAAGAAATTTTATAAGTAACAATTATAAAAAAATAAAAAAAGAAACCTAAACCCAAAAGGAAATAGCTCTTTTGTTAATGAGCATCTCTGTAGATATTGGTATCTTTTCAAACCAAAAAATCACCTTGCCTCGTCTTTTGTTGCCTCACACGTGGCAAGGATCACAAAATTTATATAATATTTTTTTTAAGAACCCTTTACTGAATTATATTCGTTGTCTCGGGTTCGTTATAAAGTGACACACGACCTCAATGGACGAATACCCATCATCGTTTCTAACCTGCGCGATCCTTGACACGCGATCCATACAACCACATTCCTTCATTCTGTCCATAAATATTTTCGCCATCGGGTTGCGAAAATTAGAGATTGCAAAACTATTTTACATTTAATATTTCTGAGAAAGTTTCGAAAAAATATTTACTTAATCTTTTTTCGAGAAAAAATTTATCATTAATTTTTATAATTCATTCAAATATTCTGGTAATAAAAATAAAACTATATCTAATCAGTAGTTATCTATAAAATAACTTTTATGTTTAGTGACACAATCTTTTATCAACCATCAAAACTAGTTCAATGTGATGATAAAGAATTGAGATAGACAAGTAGAATACAAACAACAAATAAATCTTAATAATAATATACTTTTTATATCCACAACAAGTTTTATTGTTAAGAATAAAAAATGAGAATTTAAAAGACACGCGACTTTTAATATTTATATTCGACATACCACAGACCCAAGGGTATGTTACTCTCGGTAATCGTTTAGTCAAATCAAAATAAGACCCACCGTGAATAAGAAAGGGGTACAATGGATTAGATTATATATACATAAAATCAATCCCACGTGCTAACTTTTTTTACCTGTTCACGTGCCGACACTTGATTTATCCGACACGCGTATAATTGTGCCTACGATCGATTGTGTTTATAATAACAGTACAATCCAACACGTTGCATCCTTCACTTTAAATTCCTCACTGGGGTAGCTACCCTCTCAGACCGAATTTTAAAGATTGATTACTAAAAAAATATTTTTACTTGTTAAAACAGGTACAACAGGCTGTGGCACAAGCGGCCCAACAGCTCCAAGCATTGCAAAAACAGCAGACACTGCAAGGTAGCAATATTGTAGGCCGCAATGTCACTCAGCAAAGATCTCCGCCGCCACCTGGTACCCCACCGGCCGTTAAGCCACCGACTACAAGGCTAGAACCGTCGCCCGAAGAGACAACAGATCTCGAAGAGTTGGAGCAATTTGCCAAGACGTTCAAACAGAGGCGTATTAAACTCGGCTTTACTCAAGGAGACGTCGGTCTTGCCATGGGAAAACTCTACGGGAACGATTTTTCTCAAACGACTATCTCAAGGTACGAATCAAACTTTTGAATTTTGATACTTTTTTTGGAAAGGTGTTGAGAATTATTTTTTCGGCTGCAGGTTTGAAGCGCTGAATCTCTCGTTCAAAAATATGTGTAAATTAAAACCTCTGCTGCAAAAATGGCTCGAAGATGCCGACAACTCGCTGAACAACCCTAACTCGCTGTCGAATCCGATGACAACCCCCGAAGCGATCGGAAGACGAAGGAAAAAACGGACCTCTATTGAGACGAGCGTTCGGGTCGCTTTGGAAAAGGCTTTTTTGCAAAATCCCAAACCGACGTCTGAGGAAATCACTATTCTTGCCGATAGTTTAGCCATGGAGAAAGAAGTCGTCAGAGTGTGGTTTTGCAATAGGTAATTATTCTTAAGATTAATCATTTTACTAGTCATACGACCTATGACTTATAATTTATGATTTTTAAATAAATTAACAAGAAATATTTAATCAAACAGGCGACAAAAGGAAAAGCGAATCAACCCACCAACAGCCGCAATGGGAAGCCCGACAATGCCATCATCGGCGCCCTCGGTATTTGCTTCATTGGCGAGTTCGATGTCTGCAAGCCCCTTGGCACTAACCACCCACTCATCGGGAATGTCAGGACACCCGCACTCGACGCCTCTTGGTTCACCTTTGCCGTTGGCGCTGGTCGCATCCGCGGGGGGGAATTATCATAGTCTAAATAACAAATCTCACGAGTGACAGCAACCTGCGACCCACCAGAGGGACGCTATTTACTACCATCACCAACAACAACAACAACAACAACAACAACAACAACAACAACAACAACAACAACAACCACCCCAACAGCCACAACAGCCACAACAGCCCCAAAATCATTTCCATCACCTTAACCATGATCACCGCCAACAACAATCTAATCACCAATTCCACAATCTTCATCAGCAGAACCAGCGACGTTTGTGCAATCTTCCCGAGTTTTATCATTAATCAAAAATTAAACTGATAACTCTCAAGTTTTTTTTTAATTATTCCACCCGTTACTTCGATCGGTAATTTTTGAAGTTAAATTTGGGCTGTTTGCTATCATTAATGTACTTTATATCAAAACAATATTGAAGTAATATCTCGTGCAGACTTTTGAGTCTTTCTTCACATAGTGGTCGATGTAAATACGTAGTGAAAAATATTAGAATAATTTAACAATAATTATTATTATTATTATAGTAATATTAATAGAAGTAACTTAAGAAAATTAATTATGATAAATGACTGTTGTTAATATGGATCGAGGGAGGCAGTTCCAAAGATTCTTGTGACGTTAATCCGGTGACAAGAATTAAATTAAAAACATTTTTAGGTACTCTATCGATACATCTTTTTTTATTTTTAGTTTATCTACCAAATAAATTATTTATGCGCGCGATAATCTCTATTATTTATAAATAATTATTATTTATTTCTGGTAAATTATTTACTCTGTACAATATGGACAAATAATTTGAATTTTAATAATGAGATTGATTTATTATTGAATATCCACCGACGGAGATTCGTCGTGACGTATAAAAAATTTAAAACACATTGTAAAATATAAATAATTACTTAGTTTAAACATTTTTTATTTTTGTCGATAGAGTTTAATAGTGAGAAAAGGGAAACATTTATTGTTTTGTTTAGTTAATATAATGTACCCATTCCAATAAAAAGTATATAAATATATATTTAATTATTTCTATGTATAAAAGCCGTATATGGATTTATAAATATAAATAAATGTATATAAATTGTAGCAAGTAAATATTAATAATAATAATAATAATAATAATAATAATAATAATTTAAGAATATCTATCGACTGTTTAATTTTACATAAATTTAGACATAAATATTATTTTGATTGTAAATAGTCGATAATTGACGGAAAGTGTCAAAATCAAAAAAATGAATGAGAATTTTTAATAATAATCAATACATTTATTATTATGTTTATAATTTTTATTATTACTGAGACTTTTGAAATATTAAAGTCAATTTATTATTTATGATTTAGATGCATTTTTGAATTATTTATAGCGGACACATTACATATGAAATAATATTTTGACTTTCATATGAATCGAATTCGAGAGACGTGGACCAAGTTAAAAAATTTTATTCAAAGTGGAAATGAATTTTGAACAGTGATCTTATTAATTATCAATTGTAAGCTTACAGTATTTGGTTTGTTAATTGATTAAATAATTAACCAATTACTGGACTAGGGGATAGATTTATTTATTGATGATAATTATATAATAGATCCTCAAATTCGTGATATGGAAAAAAAAAAACTTAAAATTGAAGATTTTATTTTCTCTTGTAGATATTTAACGAGTGTTGTAATATTTTTTTTCTGCCGTAGAGTTTAAAAAGAATTTAAAAACTTTAAAGGCAGAATTTGCTACGGCTTGTAGTTATATTAAATATTAATTAGTAATAGTTAGTTATTTCATTGATTGAGTTTCTATTATAGTTAATATTATTATTATTATTATTATTATTATTATTATTATTTCATTATATTTTAATTTACATTTATTGAAAATAAAAAAGAAAATATACTTGATTTTATTATTTGTTTTTTTATTATTTGGCCTTTATTTATTTTTATTAATTGTTATATTAAAAAAAAATTTTTGGGTAAAATTTGAGCTTGTTGATTTATAATTAATTATATTTTTGAGTTAATCAACGTCGTTGTCACCGTCCCTTAAAGTTTTGTAAATATTATTGATTTAAATAAACATTTGTTCGATAGATAATTAAAAATCAGTCGATCATAATTAGAGACTAGAAAATAATATTAATTAATCAACTTCTGGTATACTAAATCATTTAAGCGTAAATTTTAAAAGTTGTACCAATAATTAAAACATTAAAGACTTAAAAAGTAACTAATGTACTCACGGATTATCGAATTTTTAAAAAGTTAAAGAACGAATTACGACTGAAGCTCTGTAAATTATTTTACCCTTTGAATTATAATAAGTTTTAACATAAAATTTTAAAACTCGGTTGTTTTAAAAATTTTAAAGTTTTTATTTTAAAATGAATTGATAAAAATATCAAATTATGTTTTTTAGCGGAAGAACTTATTTTATATTTTGTGAGAAATTGTACAGAATCAAAGGGCTAATATAGAACTGAGTATTTAAAAAAAATGTGTGTATTTATAATTAATAATTTTTTAAATATTGATGTCATTTACTGTTAGCGACATAAATATTCAATAATGTATGAAGAGCACGGTAAAGTTCCTAACATATAAATCTATTAATGTCGCTGAATTAATGAAAAATATTATTTCGGAGTACTACAATATTTTGTACTAATAATAAGCATTACTTGATAATGATGATGACGTATCGAATAAATTTTTAGAAATTTAATGTAGTAAATTATTACTTAAAAAGTACGATGGTAAAAAAAGAAATAACTAAGGTTTCACTGAATTTTTCAGAAGCATGCACTTTAAAAGCGTGCAATTTATTATTTAGACATTGGTTTAAGCGAGATGGTGATGTATAAATAAAGTCATATCAATCGTAAATAATTAATGTTAATATAGTTACATCGTGGTTAATAATTATTTATCATAATAATATAAAATTAGTACGATCTAATGTAATTATATAATAAAAATACTATAAACAGAATTGCATTTTTATCATTATAAAAAAACCCATTCATTTTATTTTATTGTTATAGATAATTATAAGTTGCGGTTTTTATTGTTCTGAGAAATTTTTTATTTTTATTTTATTTTATAGCAAAAATGCTACAATTTTTTCAATCAGTTATTCAATTCAATAAAAAAACATTAAAATAGAATTAATAAATTGATGAAGAAAGAATTAAAAAATATAATTTTCTGCGTATATAAGCTTCATAATGATTTATTCTCTTGAAGAACGATTTACACCCGAGAAAATATAATTGTAATTTCTATAAAAATTCCTCCAAGGGATGTTTACCATCAGACCCCTTTTTTAACAGAACAGGGTTGTATCTGAAGGGTACATCGTACATTTATAAGCGCCCTATTATCAACAAGAAATAAAATACAGAGTACCGAGCCAGCGGAAGAACAAACGGATATTTTTCCGACTGCAGTGCTAGTCGGTAAGCTAGAGTGCTTTTTTACACTTGGTTGTCATCTCAGAAAGCGTATTAATTCCAGTGAACAATTTTTCCAATAACTGGAAATTTTCTTCAGAGGGTTGTTTGGAAATTTTTATTAATTTGATATCTTCTCAGTATCCAACTACCGAAAAAAAATGTAACTCAAGATTGATTATTCTATTTCTTAGTAGTTTAAAACTTGAATAGTTTTTTAAAAAAAATGTTTAGCTAATATGAATATATCCCCCACAGAAAAAGTATATATATTCTGAAATATATGGGCATGCACTCACTTGTATTCCGTTTTACTCAAAATTTTTCTCTGGTCTATAGTCTGATCCATCGTATATGTATATATACTGAATATATTCAGGTATATATAATTTTGAAATATATTCATTGGGCAAAACGGGGTATATCCGGAATATATTTAGAATATATTCTCGAATATATTTCAGAATATATTCCAGAATATATACTAGAATATATACTTTTTCCGTGGGGGATTTTTTTACGTAATAAAATTTTTTCTGTCAATGATCTGTAAAAAAACTTTAACATACAAACTTAACCAGATTGCATTTATATATAATTGAGCAGACACTCAATTTGAATTTAATAATTGCTTTTAAATAAAATTTTTTATTGCACTGTGATTTTAAACTGGATCTACTCCATTGAATTTTGATGTGAAAACTCTGGGAAATAAAAACGTTTTTTCATTGTCCAATATTTATTCAACATCGAAAAACATTCGCGTGACACTCGTACTTTTTCCATCAAACGTGTAATATTATAGCTCTCTACCGAGCATTCGATTCATTGTTATTTACAATATGAAATTTTAATAGGCTTTTAAAGTCAATATTTGAAATGTCGACTTATAATTTTAAATTATACTATGGTCAATCTTTCTCAAGTGTCCTTAACTTACTTAAAACAATCACAAAGTTCTGCAAATGATAAATTCAAGCATCATCAAATTTTTTAATCACAAAATAAATAAACTTTTCGTTTATACCAGAACAATGACAATTTTTTATCCGAGTATTCAGCATTGAAAACTGTGAATAGACCCGTAAAAAAGTAATTGAATGACACGAAAATAGCGGCGTTTTGTGAATAGTTACGGTCAATATCAATTTTACGTGTTGTATTTTTATTATGGATAAATTTTCGAATTTTAATTGCAATAATTTAAAAGTTGATTTATCTGATCGGCTTTCAACATTATTGCGGGTCAATTTACCTTTTTTTTTTTTTTGGCCTTTGAAACAAGTTTTTTATTTTTTATTTCTCAACAAATCAAATGTCAAATTACGAGTCACGTCAAAAACATTTTTCCAATTACAAAGTCAATTAACATTTTTTTTTTTTTTTTTATTTTTTATTTACAAGAACAAAAAAGTTAAAGTCCTGACACAATATCGAATTTCCCCTTGTAGTATTCAGAGCGACACTAGAATGGTATAATAAATTTATTATTGACTTAAAATTGTGATGGATAGCAGAATAGAAATTTCAATGGAATAAATTACTATCCAAATATACATACAGTGGTGTAAACCAAGCGC